GGCCCTTGCAGGGTAAGTGCGCCCCGAGAGGGCCAGGGGACTGCGGGGTGGGGAGGAGCGCGTTTCCCGGCACTTTGGGGTGGTGGCGTCCTCGCCGCTGCCCTGGCCTCTCTCTGTCGTCCCTGACTCCCAAATGTACTTCGACCGCGGCGCGGCTGACCAGGGGTGTCCCTTCTCAGTTGTGCGAGGATTGGGAAGAGTTAAACAGATTAGGCTCCAGTTTTGCCCCGGAGAAGCAGAGATGGGGAAAACTCACTTTCCCACCCGGAGTCCCGTTCCCCATCGTGCGCTCTCCGGCTACACCGTCGGCGTCTGCGTTTCATACCCTGGGCCTGTACCTGGAGCACGTCGGAGCAGCAGAGGCGGCTCTCAATGACCTACTCTGGCTGCCACATTGCCCAGGCCACCAGACACCCTGTATGGGCTCCGGACCGTGAAAGAGGGGAGGGACCAGGAGCACCTCGGGGCTTGGGAGATGGATTTCTCAGCCCTGCAGGGTGCATCACCCTGACCTTCCCCATGACCTTTCCTTGCCTCTGGATCTCCGGGTTCTTGGGGGTGGTGAGTGTGTGGGTGTGTGAGACTCGCAAGCCTGGAGCCTGTCGCAGGGCAGCCACATCTATCAGCGTCAGACTGGCCTCAGGAGTTCCCGCAGGAGCTGCTGCCTTTCTTTGTGGAAGCCCAGGGCCCCGTACTGCGCTCACAGGCTGCCTGCTTTCAGACTCAATAAACAAGCCTCTCTGCTGCGCCCTTTGCGACGACGCGTGTTTATAGAACTGTTTCTTCTCTGGAGGACTCCGCAGTGTTTGACACTGTTGGTCGCTGCCATGGTGAACAGGGATTTAGCAGAACTTGCACTCCATTCAAGGAGCTGTTTTCATTCTCAGCGCTCCCGGGGGCGGTCGGGGAGGGGGCAAACCCATCCAGTGTGGGACTGAATGCCCGGTGCTGCCTCCGACTGACTGGACTGGCACCATGTTTAGATGGCCCAGTGGCTCAA